AGGGTGGGGGAGGGGTGGGGGAGGGCACGGCGGGAGGCCCTTCGGGAGAGGAGTGGCGCGGGGACGGGGCGGGGCTGCGGGGGGGGGAGGGCGCACCTGCAGGGGACAACACGGCTTCCGTGGTGGTGGTGGTGGGGTCCGTTCACTGCGCCGGCGGGGAGCGGCGGGGAGCGGCGGCCAGTGCGGAGTCGACGCGTCGCACATGCCGCAGCTTGGCGGCGCCGCCTGCCGCCGCTGCCGGCTGGGCGGCGCGCGCCAGCTTAGAGAGGAGCGAGTAGTGTGGCCGGCAGCGCGAGGCGGCGGCGCGCGCGCTCCTCGCGCGAAGCTCGTCGGCGAGTCTCTCCTGTGTGGGTGTGTGTGGGGGTGGGGGGGGGGGGGCTTGGGTCGTGGTTGTGTTATGGGTTAGGGCTAGGGTTAAGGCTAGGGTTAGGGTGTCGGAGGAGGCGGTTGGTGGGCGGCCCGGGGGGGGAGGGGGGGTGCGAGGCTGCGGCGCACATCTCGGCCAGCCTCGGGTGATCTCGGGTGATCTCGGGTGGTCCATGGTCTCGGATCATCTCGGCCGATCTCGGCCGATCTCGAAGAGCGCACCGTCCAGGCCGGCAGCCGTGCACAAGGAAGTGTCTAGGAAGTGTCTAGGAAGTGTCTAGGAGGTGTCTAGGAGGTGTCTAGGAGCTGTCTAGGAAGTGTCTCGCACCGTCCCGGCCGGCAGCTGTGTGTACCGCGACGGCGCCTCGGAGAGCAGCGACGACTGCAGCTCGCTCAGCCACGTGCGCTGCTCGCTGTGCAGCCGCGCCGACAGCGCCGCGTACCGCGCCGCCGCCTCGCTGCCGCCGCCCTCGCCCGGCGCTGCGCCCGCCTCAGCGAGCGAGAGAAGCTCGGCGTGCTCGGCGGCGCTCAGCTGGCTCTGGCCGCAAAGGGCCGGGGCGTCGCTCCTCCGGGCGGTGCCGCTCCCTTGGGCGGCGCCGCTCCTCCCCTCGCCGCGCGCTGCCACCGGCACGTCCGCCGCCGCCCCCGCCGCTGATGCAGACGCTGCCGCTGATGCGGACGCCGCCGCCGCCGCCGCCGCCGCCGCTGAAGCGCCCGCTGCAGCGCCCGCTGCAGCGCCTGCTGGAGCGTCTGCTGCAGCGCCTGGTGAAGTGCCGTTGCCGCTGGCGCCGCCGCTGTTCCCGCCTCCACCGGCACCACTCGGTGGGATCGGGCCTGTCTCTTCCTGCCTCGACCGCCCGCGCCTCGCCAACGCCGCCGCTGCTGTTCCCACCGCCGCCGTTACTGCTCCCACCGCCGGCACGGACGCGGTGCTAGCGACCACGGCCTGTGCGCGTGAGATTGCGCGCGAGAGAGCAGACTCTTCTGGCGCTCCTAGCGCCACCGCCGCCGTTGCTGCTCCCACCGCCGCCGCCGTTCCGGCCGCCGCCGCCGCCGGTCCAGCTCTCGCCTCAGCCGCCGCCGCCGAGGGCCGCTGAGGCGGCCTTCGAGGCGCAGCGGTCAGGGCAGAGGGGATGGGGACAGAGGCCACGGCAGCGCCGGTCGCGGCTGTGGCGTTTCGGTCGTTCCATCGGAACGATGCGGCGCCGAGCCGCACCTCGGCCGCTAGCCTCCTCACCGCCTCCGCGCGCCGCTGCTTGGCCGGGCTGTCGCCGGCCTGGCTGCTAGCGCGCGTCGCCGCGCAAGCGTTCGCCGGCGCAGGCTCCGGCCTGCGAGGAGGCGCCACCGCCGGCTGCGGCTGGCTCGGCGGCGGCAGTGGACGCTTGTGCGGCCGCGCCGGCGGCGCCTCCCGCTGCCGAGCCGCCGATCTGGCGGGCACCGCCGCGACCGCTCCGCCGTTGTTTGCGGGCGCATCCGCCGACACGGCGTTTGCGCGGTTTGCGCGGTCCGCCGCGAGCCGCGCGACCTTGAGGAGCTCGGCGGGAGTGGGAAGCTCGCCAGCAAAGGTGAAGTCGACCGAGTAGCGGTCCAGGTCCTCCAGTCGCATTTATACACACATACAATGTCAGCGCCGGCACGCAGAAACAAAGAATTTTACTCCCCCAAGTGAACTCGAGCGAGCCCAGACAGGGCCGTGCTGCTCCTCTCCACCGTGATGCATCTCGCCATCATCGTCACCACGACGTGTCAGCTGCGGACGGGCGTCGCCCGCGACATGCGCACGTAGCCCGACAACTTTCAAACGCTGTGCAAGCCGCGGCGCGCGGGCGGCTCCAACTGTCAATGTCGTCTCGCATTGCCGGTACGCGGGCCTGGCTGCTCTCTCTCTCCCCCCCCCACTCCCCATCGAGACTGAGCCCCCGGTGAGCACGGGCTGCGGCGCGACCCTTGCCGTCCCCGCGCACGCAGGTCACCATGGCTGCATCAGAGCTGCTTTGTCGTGCGCACTCGAGCAGCGCGCAGCGGTCGCGCCCACCTGTCACCTCGCCTCGCCGGCTGCATCCCGCTCGCCACCATCCCTGGGTCACCGCCACTGCCCCTGTCCCTTGCCGCCGCCGTCGCCGTCCGATTCCTCCCTTGGGCCAGGTACCAATGTTGTCGAATTTATTTCAAAATCTGCAGGCGCGGAGCGCCTGCGAAAATTTTGAAGAAATTTGTGGCCGGGCCTGATTTTCAACAATATCTTTCAAATTTGCGGTGTGGAGTTGGGGGGTGGGTTAGTTTTAGGGTTAGGGTTAGGGTTAGGGTTAGGGTTAGGGTCAGGGTTAGTCTTGTTGTGTCTGTATATGCCAGCGTTGCAGGGTTCTGCGCTGGGATCTGGCCCCAGCGCCGACGAGTAAGACTCAGCACCGCACGCTGACCCCACCAAATGCCGCCTCAGGGCGCCAGGCCGCCAGCCACCTCTTAGCTGCCCTCTCGCGGCAAAAGGGTCGAGCGAGCGCGGGCAGAGTCGCGATGTCTGCGCACCCGCGTGCCGATGGGCGGCACACGCAGCGGAGAGAGGCCCTGTCGCGCCGCCAGTAGCGTTCCGCACTCCCCACGCCACCAATTGCCGCCTCAGGGCGCCAGCCGCCTCTTACACGCGGCCGGCGCCCTCTCGCGGCAAAAGGGTCGAGCGAGCGGGCAGAGTCGCGATGTCTGCGCACCCGCGTGCCGATGGGCGGCACACGCAGCGGAGAGAGGCCCTGTCGCGCCGCCAGTAGCGTTCCGCACTCCCCACGCCACCAATTGCCGCCTCAGGGCGCCAGCCACCTCTTACACGCGGCCGGCGCCCTCTCGCGGCAAAAGGGTCGAGCGAGAGCAGCAGGTTGAAGTTGTTGCGCTTGACAAAGATCGCGTCGTGGTAGAAACCGCGATGCGCGCGCCTTGACGTAGCCGTGTGGCCGGTCTTGTGGGAGAAGGGTTGGCCGGGCTGCCCGCGCGCCTTGCAGCCCATGTTTAGGCGGCGGGCCTTCTCTTCGGTGTTGCCGAAGGCGTAGGAGTGGCCAACGGAGGCGGGCGTGCCGCCACTCGAGGCGTTGCCAACGCCCGGCGAGGAGGTCTTGAGGAGGGGCGTCCAGAGCCTGATTTCATTCACTTCATCGCACCTGGTGGCGCATCGCGAGCGGCTGGAGCGCTGGCGCGCAGAGTGCGCTGACTGCAGCGCCGCGGCCTTTCGATCAGTGCCAAAAAAACAACACATCCCTCTCGCCTCAGTGCCGGGGACGCGGGGACACTTCATTAAGTGCCAGGGACAGAGGCGCGCCGACAGTAACCACGACGGCATGGAGGAGGACGACGAGGTGTGGGAGTAGACGTGTGTGGCAGCGATGCATAATACGTACTGTCGTCGTCGGACGATTTCCTCTTTTTTCCTGCAAACGGCGGGACATCTGCGAGGAGATTGCACGCGCTCCCGCAGGCTGCCGTTGCTCCCTGAAGTCACCGTCCCCGTGCAGATACGCGAGACGTGCCCCTCCCTGCTCCTTGCACCGGCCTGCTCCTCGCTCGATGCAGTGTACGGACAGCGACTCGACGCTGCCGAGCACCTTCGATGCCGACGCCGCGCTCATGTGCAGCCAGCTCGCGATGGGGCTCGCGTATCAGGACGACGTCGGACTGCGACTCGTGAACGCACTGCGTGTGGAAGGCTCTCCGAGCCTGATCTCCGTCGGGACGAGCAACATAGCATTTGCAAAGACTCGCGGAGAAGATAACGAGGAGCTCGTCATTGTCAACCGCGGAACGATCATCAAAAATGTGGACGACGCGGTGCGCAACATTTCGGGACAGGTGCGCACCGATCGCATCTTTGTCGGCAAGCGGAGCGGCGGGGAGATCACTATGAAGAACAACGGTCCTTTCTCTCAGCTCTCGTTGCATCGGCAGTACTTGGATCGCGCGAAGGGTCCGCCACAGCTCTTTCCCGTAGCTGCGCGCCGCCCCCTCGCCCACATACTCTGTGCTTCCCTCACGGATAGGCGTCCTCTTCACCTACCTCCTCCTCGATGCGATGCATGGCGTATACCGCATCGGCGACTACAAGAAGGTGATCGTGACCGGCCACTCGCAGGGCGGCGCCGTCTCGATCTGCCTCGCCGCCCTTCTGGTGGCCTTCGACGCTGGGCTGCGCGCGCTCAACGACGGTCACATCGACGTGCTCGAGGTCGACGCTAAGAGCAGCAGCGTCTACGCCTTCACACTGGGCAACGCGTCGACGCTGTCGATCACGCTCGATCAGGACGCGGAGCAGTTTGTCGTCAAGTGGTCGGGTGCGTGGACGTACGAGAAGCGATGGGACGTCAGCAGCGCGCTTCTCTGGCGCCAGGAGGCCGCCGCCCCTGACGGCCCCAGTAGCGCGCTTTTCCATCTCCCCGCAGCCCCTGACGGCCCTGTCCGCGTGTACGCCTTCTCCCCGACCAAGATCTCGAACCCCGCCTTCGAGACCTGGATCCACAAGAATGTGCCCAGCACCTTCAACTTCATCATGCGCTTCGACCCCATCGCCCAGATGGCGCGAGACGCCGCCGTGGCACCGCCTCACCCCCTCCACGAGACTTGCCGTGAGACTGTGCGGCTTCGCCACCACAGGTGCTGCCATGGAACCGCCGGCCGGGCAACCTGATCGAGGTGCGCGTGCGGAAGAACGAGTGGCTGCGCTGGCTCACCTTCCCCTTCCTCGAGGCGTGGCTCAACATGTCGCCGTGGCTCCCGGCGTGCTGCGCCGAGAAGGGCACCTACGGCGGAGCGCTCCACAGCGGCGCCACGATCCTCCCGGCGGTGACCGCCTTCCTGCTAGAGAGCCCCGCGGTCGCAAAGAAGGCGTGCCTCGACGCGGTGTGGAACGAGCTCAAGTACTTTCTCATCTTCGAGGAGTGGTTCGGGGGCGACACCTCCAGCTTCGTCTCGTGGCTCCGCCTCAAGACATCAAAGTTTCCCGACAAGCAAGTCGGTGCGACCGACCGGTTGCTGATCCTCAAGGACGGCAGTGAGAAGGGGCTGGACGACTTCGAGTACACGATCCGCACCTTCAGCGGCGCCGAGGCTCTGACGTGGAGCCTCGCGTACTTTAACGGCACCCTGGCGCTCACCTTCTTCGTCCTGGCGCTCGCGCTCCCGTCCCTCGCAGCTCCCTGCCCCCGCCCAAGGCTGTCCCGTCTCAGCCTCCCCTCCCACCCACCCCGACCTCAGGTGCCGATGGCCCTTCTCCTACTCGGCGTCCTCCTCCTCCTCTCCGCCGTGGCTGCGCCCATCTACCTGACGCTTCGCGTCGGCGCCTACCTTTCCGCCGTGGCGGGCGCGTGGTGCTGCGTCTCGGAGCCGGCGACGGACAGCGCGGTGCGCGGCCTGCGCGCCTCCTCTCCCCTCTCGCCACGACCCTAGCCGGCGCCGCATGTGGCTCCCATAGAGAAGCGACATCAGAGTTGAAGCCGGGGGGGTACTAAGTTGCCGCCGCCCGCCCCACCGTGTGCAGAGCACGTCGGCGACCATCGACCGGATCGCGACGCCCAAGCCGCCGCCGACGAGCGCGGCAACGGCTCGGCGTTTCGCCAAAGAGCAGCGCACAAAGTACCAAGAGCTAGCCAGCCTCGTCTGAAAGCAGAACGGAAACCATTCCATGTATGCTATATTACGGTCCTTCAGCAAGAAGAATCCACCCGCAGAGCGCAGTCGGCACAGTGCAGCCGCAGTGTGTGTGTGAAAAACTCCATAGACATGCACGAGAATCGACCCTCGCCGTGGCGGTGCTCGACGGCAAGCTGAACGCTGTGGGTGGCTTCAGCGCCCCGACGGCGGCGCCCTCAGCTCCCGAGATGTGCTGAAGGTTGTGAACAGGGCCAGAAGGCGTGCCATTATCTATCTCTGCCATTGATCGTTGTCCCTAACCTACTCTCAAGACTTGCCCTACTCACATCCGTTTGGTCTTTTCTCGCAGCTGCGAGACATGCTTTCTCGGAGCGGGGCATCCAAAACAACAGGGCGGAAGGGAGGGGTGACCATACGCGCAGCGCAGGAGGGGTGCCCCTAAGGGGGCACAAAGGTAGCTCAAAGGGGAGTGAACAAGACGCCGCACAGGCGACGTGCACGCTCGCCGCCTGCGCTCGCCGCGTCGCTCTCTCCCTCCCCTTCTTTGCTTGAATTGGCGCTGGCGCCTGCTGTTGACAAGTGGGATCATCTGGCTTCCGGAATACTTCCGCGAAGCTGCCCCCAGCAGGCGTTTGACCAAGATCCAAATTTCCCTACTCCAGTTGAGGCTGCCCTCGGACCCGAGAAGGTCTTTTCTCGCAGCTGCGAGACATGCTTTCTCGGAGCGGGGCATCCAAAACAACAGGGCGGAAGGGAGGGGTGACCATACGCGCAGCGCAGGAGGGGTGCCCCTAGGTGCAGGCGCGTGCGAGGGCGCAAGCTGCGTCGTGCGGGCTGCTAGCTGGGTGCTCGCTTGTGTTGTAAGGCTGCTGTTTTCTCAGGGCGCACTGCGGGCCGCGCGGGCGTGTGTGAGTGTATTGTTGTGCACAGAGTGCACAGGCATGAGGGGTGAAGCGATCCTGGCCGAGCCGCCCGGGAGCGCGCGCGGCGTGCCACGCGCGCCTCGCCTGGTGGAACGGGGCTGTCGCGGGGTGTAGTGAGCCGCGCAGTGGGCGGGCGGCGCGAGCGTGCGTGTGTGTTGAGTGTCCAGCAGGTCTGCTGCACAGCCTCTGGCAGGCTGTGCAGCAGATCTGGTCGGGTGGCGGGGCGTGTGCGCGGCGGCCGCCGCGCGCGGCGTGCCGCCGCGCGCGCCTCGCACGGTGTGGAGCTGCGTCGTGCCGGGCGCGGCGCGCTCTGGTACGGCATGGTGCCTGATGCAGGTGTGCAGGCGCCTGGCAAAAGGCGTAGACTGTCAGTGAGGTTCAATGCGGCGCGCGCGTCGCGGCGTGAGTGGTCGTGCGCCTGGCTCTGGTGGTGCGAGAGGCGCGTGGCTGGTGCGGGCGGCGCGGGACGGCCATGGGGCGCCAGCACAGGGCTTGCGCCCATGACACAGGCAAATTTGCGCTGCGCGTGTGTTTGCGTGCGCGCGGGGACGTACGCGCGGATTTCACGCGGTGTGCGTGGAGAAGGGCATGAGGGGCGCCGGCCGCGCGTGTAATGGCGCGTGAGAGTGTGGTGCCCGAAGGCGAAGGGGCCCGAAGGCAGGAGGACTAGACTTGCGCCCCGCTAGCAACGAGGCTTACAAGAAAAGTCTCATCATCATGAATTGGGTCGGACGGGGGGGTAGTGGTACCTACGGTGCGAGGGGCGGCTGCGGGGTGTGTGGAGTGCCCAGCTTCCGGCGGGCCGGCGCGCGGTGTTTCGACACCGATATCGTTCAAGGAACCCTCTCTCTCGAGGTTCTCGAGGTGGATATCCTTTGGCCGCGTTGGGTAGCGAGGATTGGTGTGACGCGATCCACGCAGGCGTGTTTTCTGGCGGCCGACCGTCAGTGCACGGAGTTGCCCCTTCTCCGACTGCCCCGGCTAGTTCCCGGGTTTCGCGGGAGTGACCCCATGCGTCAAAGCTCAAACCCTCACCACATCTGCTCGCGTGCTTTTTTTTAACTGTGGGAGAAAAGGGAGAGGGCGTGTGCTCTAGTGAGAGGGGTGTGTGTTCTCTCTCTCAGTGTATGTGGCTCTGACGTACACAGGACGTACAATACACATATACAATGAATAGATACAGGAGCGACACACAAGTCACACAGAGAAGACACTCAAACGGCATTCGGCGGCGGAATCATGGGCGGAATGTCTGCAAATTGGGCAAGCGTCGCCGACGAAGACGCGTCATCCGCCGCGTCTGACTGAAGACCCGACGTGCCGGCGGTGTCGTCGGCGCCCTCGGCGCGATACAGCCACGTGGGCGCGCTCTCCGTCTCGCGGTACAACCACGCCTGCTGCTGCTGCCGGGCGCCCATGAGCGGGCTCTCCTCTTTTCCACTGACGGCGCCGACCTTCGCGGCGGCCGCGGCGGCCGCGGCGGCGGCCGCCGCCCGCAGCTCTTCGGGGGAGCAGCGGTCCTCGGGCGTCGCCCCGGCCTTGTCCAGTATCCGCCGTGCAAGGGCGGAGACCGGGCTGCAAGAGGCGTCGCCGGCGAGAGGCGCAACGTAGGCGGGGGGCGGGGTGGCGGGGCAAGGCTCGACATCGAGCGGGTGTGCGTCGGAGTCGGAGAGGGAGATGCCGCTAGCGTGGGCAATGCTGAGGACGCCGCTCCCGCGAGCCGGGCTGAAGCCGTCGCCCCCGCCTAGCGCGCTCGCTCGACGCTCGGAGTAGTCGATCGAGAGGCTGACCTGATCCGACACCGCGGGTGCGCGCGTGTGTGCTGCGACTCTTCACAGCTCCGAGGCTTTAGGCCGATGTTCGAGGCCGAGGTCAGGCGGAGGCGTGACGCTCACCTCCGAGACGCGGGGAGTTGATGGGCCGCGGCGCGCCTTTGCGGGGAAGGGGCAGCAGGAGGCGCCAGATAACGCCCGGCGGCGCTCCGGAGGTGGGGGGGGGGGGGTAAGGGGAAGGGGAGAGAGGGGGTGAGCGAGAGGAGTGGGAGGTCGTTGGAGTGAGAGAGGGCCGAGAGCGAGCAAACGCTAACCGTGGCGTGGCGCTTGTAGCAAGTCGCGGCGCCGGCGCAAACCAACAGAAGCGCGGAGGCGGGCATGGCAACCAAGAGCAACTGCTCGGTGTCCGCGTCGCCGTCGTCCGCCGGCAAAGGATCTGCGAAATCCCAACGAAGCTCGTCCTCGGCGCTGCTGCTTTCGGGCGCGGCACACTCGCACGCCAACGAGTGACGCCGTCCGCACGTCACCTAGTAGTAGTAACCTCAGCTAAGACCTGATCCCTGTCCACGCCCAAACGACTAGCGACAGGAACGCGGCTTCACTCCCACAGGGGCCTGGGAGACGGGAACGCAACGCAAGTCACCTTGCTGCTCGCGCGGCAATCGGTGGACGAGCTCATGTAGACGGAGCTGACGCAGGAAGTGCCTAAGGCAAGGCAAGGCAAGCTGAACTCCTCCACACAGGTGAGTGGAGGGGGTGCTGCCGGGAGCCGCCATGTGCGCGGCGTCTGATCTGCGGAATGGGTTGTTACATGCTGCCACCACTACTAGGCGGGCGGCGCCGGTGCGCTCGCAAAAGGCGGAGCACGAGCCGGTGTCGGTGGCAGCCTTGTAGTAGACGCAGCTGAGGACAAAGCCGGGGGGGGGGGGGGGGGGCTCGGTCTCGCGCCAGGCGTCTGGGAGGTGTCTGGAGGGGTGGCTAGGTTTCTGGGAGGTGAGTCCAAGAGGCGCCTGTGGCCGTCGCGGTTGAGGTCGTGGCATGTCTCGAGCGAAGCGTCGTGCCGCAGCACGTGGGCGGCGCAGCGTGCGTCCGACCGGCTGAGGCGGCCGTCTGGCGCGGACAGCAACGTCGCTGGCCGCGGGGGCGGCGGCGGTGCCGGTGGTCGGAGCGGCGGCGGGTATTTACAGGTGCCGTAGAACCCGTAGAGGTCTTCATCGCCGGACCAGACGGCGCCGCACGCCTCGCAGGTTGATCGAAACGAGGCAGGGAACGCCTGATTGAACCTGTCGATGCTCGAGCAGGGCAGCGGAGGCGGTGGCGCGGGCGGCAGAGGCGGCGGCGCGGGCGGCGGCGCGGGCGGTGGAAAGGCCGGAGGGGGCGGCGAGGGTGACATGGAGGGCGGCGGCGGTGCTGGCGGCGGCGGTGCTGGCGGCGCTGGTGAGGGAGGCGGCGGCGAGGGCGACGCCGAGGGAGGCGGAGCCGAGGGTAGCGGAGGCGAGGGAGGCGGCGGTGTTGGAGGGAGCGGCGGCAAAGGCGGTAGCACGGGCGGGAAGTGGTAGCCTGGGGCCCACGGAGGAAGCGACGGTGGCGGCGCCGAGGGCGGCGGAGGCGTTGGAGGCGGCTGCAAGGGCGGCGGCACGAGTGGAGGCGGCGGCAAGGGTGGCAGCGAGGGTGGTGGTGGTGTCGGCGGCGGCGGCGGCGGCGGTGTCGGCGGCGGCGGCAAAGGCGGCGGCGGCGTGGGCGGCGGCGGTGTGGGCGGCGGCGGCGTGGGCGGCGGTGTGGAGGGTGGCAGTCGTGGCGGCGGCGGCAGTGGCGGCGGCGGAGAGGGCGGCGGCTGCGGAGGAGGAGGAAGCGACGGTGGCGGCGCTGAGGGCGGCGGAGGCGTTGGAAGCGGCGGCAAGGGCGGCGGCACGAGTGGAGGCGGCGGCAAGGGTGGCAGCGAGGGTGGTGCTAGTGTCGGCGGCGGCGGCGGCGGCGGTGTGGGCGGCAGTGGCAGCATGGAGTAGCACGTGTACTCCTGCGCGTAAGCAGAGGTCCCTGCCGCCGCCTGACCGGAGCTGGTGAGGTAGCGCACGCAACGCGGAAGCCCCGCATCCCTGCAACCATCCACACTGGCGGCGGGGCTAGCCGTCCACGCGATGGCTGCGCAAGTCACTTCGCCTTGGCAGAGCGCCGTGCATTCGAACAAGGACTCGCAACCTCGCGATACCGCGAAAGTGACGTCCGGTTGGCCACCCTCGCGGCAGTAGCCCGTGCCAACAACGAATGCAGGCGCCAAAGGCGGCGGCGGCCGCGTCGGCGGCGGAGGCAGAGGCGGCGGCAGAGGCGAGGGCGGCGGCGGAGGCAGCGGCGGCGGCGGAGGCAGAGGCGGCGGCGGAGGCGGGGTGGAGGACGCACACTCACGCCAACCCGCGCCACGGAACAAGGTGGACGACGCGTCGCTACCGCAGCTCGAGGGGTCGACGACGTAGCAGAACCGCGCTCCGTTGCCGTCGTGTACGGCGCAGCCAAGCCGACTTGTACGCACCCCGCCGCTCACGCCGTCCGACGCGCAGTCGCAAGCGCCTAAGAAGTTCCGAGAAGCGTGAGCTCGGAGAGAGTTCGGCGAGGGGTTCGCGGGAGCGGCGGCAAGCGGCACCCAGAGCCTCCCCTGCGCAGCCGACCACCCGCACCGCATCCACGTACTCCCAAGCCGCAGAGTCTGTGCGCGACGTGAGGCGAATGCGGCTCGTGAGGGCGGTTGGCGCGAGGAGAGAGATGACCTTGTCGAAGCCGCAGGCCGTGTCGTCGTCGCCCTCCCACGCCACCGCCCACCCCCCTCGACCCGCCTCGGCCTGCGTCCACGCCTCGACCCTCTGCAGGAAGCCGGCCGCCTCGCGCGGGTTGGCGTGCTCGCGCACCGCCACCTCCGCCACCCGCACCGGCGAGGCGAAGGACACGGTGAGCTGGTACGTGCCTTGGTCCCGCCGGGCGGGCGCCCACGAGCCTGCCTTCAGCGTCGCGCAGTCGCCCTCGTTGTGCGAGGGCGGGCCGACCGCCTCCTCCTCTGCCCAGTCTCCGCCGTACTCGGACGTCGCGTACGCCTCTGCCGCGTACTGCGTCACCTATAGCCGACGTCGACGTCGAGGTGTGCCCGAGGTGTGCCGAGATATGACCGCCCTATCTCCGCGCAGTCAGACCTCGTCGCACGCTGGCGCAGCACACTCGCACGCCCACGCGTTGGTCACCGAGCACGCCACCCCAACCGTCCCTCCGGAGCCTAAGGCAAGGTAAGGGTAAGGTCAACTCCTCCGCACACAATAAGGCGGTGGGGCAAGGCGACCCTCCCCGGAGCCTATACACCGCCATTCGAGAGGTAGCCGAGACATGCCCGAGATGTGACCCCCCCCTCAAACAAAGAGGAATAGAGGCGCTGCACGCCGCGGCCGGTTGACACGTGCACGCACATGGACATGTAGCATGTGCATGTGCATGTCATGTGCATGTGCCATGTGTGTCTCATCTCGGCTAATCTCGGGTTGATCTCGCGCCGCAATCGGTGGACGAGCTCATGTAGACGGAGCTGACGCAGGAGGTGCCTAAGGCAAGGCAAGGCAAGCTGAACTCCTCCACACAGTCGCCTGTGGAGAAGGCCCGAGGGCAGGGGGAGGTGCTAGGGGCCGCGCCATGTGCAGAGCTGGAGGCGGGCTCGAGCGCGGCGGGCGGTAGTTCTCGGGTGTATCTCAGGTATATCTCGAGAGGGGCGGCACCGTGGGCCACGTCTCCAGTGCTATAGTTGCTTGAGGTGGGGGCGTTGCCACCACTACTAGGCGGGCGGCGCCGGTGCGCTCGCAAAAGGTGGAGCACGAGCCGGTGTCGGTGGCAGCCTTGTAGTAGACGCAGCTGAGGACAGAGGCGGGGGGGGGGGGGGGCTCGGTCTCGCGCCAGGCGTCTGGGAGGTGTCTGGAGGGGTGGCTAGGTTTCTGGGAGGTGAGTCCAAGAGGCGCCTGTGGCCGTCGCGATTGAGGTCGTGGCATGTCTCGAGCGAAGCGTCGTGCCGCAGCACGTGGGCGGCGCAGCGTGCGTCCGACCGGCTGAGGCGGCCGTCTGGCGCGGACAGCAACGTCGCTGGCCGCGGGGGCGGCGGCGGTGCCGGTGGTCGGAGCGGCGGCGGGTATTTACAGGTGCCGTAGAATCCGTAGAGGTCTTCATCGCCGGACCAGACGGCGCCGCACGCCTCGCAGGTTGATCGAAACGAGGCAGGGAACGCCTGATTGAACCTGTCGATGCTCGAGCAGGGCAGCGGAGGCGGTGGCGCGGGCGGCAGAGGCGGCGGCGCGGGCGGCGGCGCGGGCGGTGGAAAGGCCGGAGGGGGCGGCGAGGGTGACATGGAGGGCGGCGGCGCTGCTGGCGGCGGCGGTGCTGGCGGCGCTGGTGAGGGAGGCGGCGGCGAGGGCGACGCCGAGGGAGGCGGAGCCGAGGGTAGCGGAGGCGAGGGAGGCGGCGGTGTTGGAGGGAGCGGCGGCAAAGGCGGTAGCACGGGCGGGAAGTGGTAGCCTGGGGCCCACGGAGGAAGCGACGGTGGCGGCGCCGAGGGCGGCGGAGGCGTTGGAGGCGGCTGCAAGGGCGGCGGCACGAGTGGAGGCGGCGGCAAGGGTGGCAGCGAGGGTGGTGGTGGTGTCGGCGGCGGCGGCGGCGGCGGTGTCGGCGGCGGCGGCAAAGGCGGCGGCGGCGTGGGCGGCGGCGGTGTGGGCGGCGGCGGCGTGGGCGGCGGTGTGGAGGGTGGCAGTCGTGGCGGCGGCGGCAGT